TTGGCTTATCAAAGGGACGCTATTTGCAATACCACTGAAATGGGACACTGGTTTGTTTCACCAAAATGCCACAGAAATCACCTCGACGAAACTAACTGAATAATGGCCTGCAATTGGTTTGGGATCATACAACCACTCTCTTCGGGCTAATTAGTTACAGTTGGCTTGTTGTAACAACTCTTTTCAAGTGGTCTTCTTTAAAAGTTGATTTTTGAACTCCTGCGATCAGTGGTCCATATACCTAGCTTTCGGCAGTTCTGTGTTAAACCAACCGCGACCCGATTTGGTGCTAATATTTCCTGAATATTTCCTGGCACTGAACTCATGCTTGACGCATATTTGTTCCCTGGTGTGCTCGTCTACAGGTCTAACATAATAATGTGTACCGCCCTCAACCATCTTATGTTCCATGTACCTAACAGGACATTGCTCCTGATTTAAATTTAAACAATAAACAGATTCGAACAAAAGTGTACACAGCAAGACACACACACAAATTGGTTATTAATCACATTCCTTATTTTGTAAACTAATAATAATTGTGTTGTTTTATAAACTAGTTCACCCATAAGTACAACTGTTTGAACATGCTGTTGCGATTAGAGCAAACTGCATGTCTTATAAAAATCGACCACAATAACTGCTGATACTATGGTTTACTAACAGCTTTCCTATTGTTTCGCTATTTAATTGAAACAGATGTTTTGTTTTGAGTATCATCCATGTTACGTCACCTCCCCCACGTAAGATAGGAATCCTACGTTAAATGTTGTAATCTTTCTATAATCTGCGTTGACACATTCTTGTCTTCGCGGTGCTCGATGATATTCTCTGTTATCAGTGAGCGTGCGAACAATTGCTTGCTTTGACCACTTGTATATTATGTATATTGATTTCTCTTCGGCTCGGGTTATTAAGGGATTATGTGGGCAGCACGCTGTGCATGGTCCAGTCTCTAGAGCCCTATCTAATGAAAGAACAACAGCATACATACAAGTATTGTTTAAAATTCATTAAAACGTTAATGTGCTATCTGCTTCAAACAGCTCCCCATTTGTCACGAATTGCGCATCATCAACAAAAAACAAAGAGGTAACTGGAATGCACACACGCTGCGCTGGAAAAATAATTGTTAAAGAGAAAGACCGCCATGCCCTAAATCCCAGTATTAACCAGTATTAATTTGTGAGCAAATTCGCGCCAAATGCCTCTTTCTACATATTTATCAACATATTTGATTCAGTGGCGATCTCAATTTATCTCCCCCATTGAGTGGTTTGCAGTACACTTCGTAGCCTAGTCAGTTCTGTTTACTATACTGTTATCGAAATACGAAGGAAGCTGCAGAGATCTATAGTGATCCATATTAAGAGTTCACTAAAGGCACCGATATAGCCGTTTGTAAAGTGGGATTTAATTTTACACGAACTTTACATTTTATAGAATCTCTCGTTAAAAGCGCATCTCTGTTCTGTCGATCAACTTAATCAGTGTCTTTGTGTTTTCTTATTTTTTGTCTTTTAAAAAGTATTTTTCTTTTAACGAGTCCTCGGGCCCTGCCCGAAGCGATGCTCTGATTTCTCGCGTAATGATCAAATTTTAGTCAATTACACTAGTGTAATTAAGCGGGCATTGATCGCCAATTTGGCTACCTGCGGAAACTTTTTGCTCGTTGCTCTTTCTAACCGCAAATCGTCTCTGGCACTTTGACTGAAAAGTTCCCTTCCACTAAATTGGCTTCGTAAACGAATCACGATAAAAAGCGAATCAACTCGACAAAAGGCGATAAAGCCATTCGTCTGGAAACAGTAGCTTGAATTATTATTATTGTTATTATTTTTTCTTGCTGTGAAATTTCCTCGACTTTACTGGCTTTTATTTATAAACCCCTCCATTAGTAAGCAAACTTGCTTCATTAGGCGCCGTCACGTTACTAAAACTAACGCAAAGAAAGTGCTAACTCAAGCAGTCCACGCGCCGTTCCGCTTCCTCTTCCGTACCTCTTATGAAATCTCAGCCAAGTGAGTGATTTTCATTTTCAATTAATTCAATACGCATTTAATTCACCTAAAGTGCATTTGATTTTCAACATTTCATTAAAAACACTTGCAATAATATTATCGTTAACGTACAAAAGACAACGTTTTATTCGTTTGTCGCATTTGGATGTGAAGTGTGACGTGCTCGATTTGACTGTGAAAAAAAAGATGATTGGCACCTGAAATGGACACATCAGTAGTACAATGTTGAGTCAACTAAGAAGACAGGAAGGAAAGGGAATTACCATGTTTCCATTGCTCGCCCAGAATCACGTTCAAACATCAGAGAGGGGTAGATGAAATTTCCACCATTGATAGCGTCACAGGAATTTCGCTTGACTGAATGTAACGGGAAAAGTGACAGCCAGTCACAGTAATAGACAGCTATGTAGAATCCAGTGTAGTGATTACAGGAGCGTATTTTCAATCTTAATTGAAGAAAATAAAAGTTGCAGTTTGAAAACACTAAAAATATAATTATAGAACGTGATGTGTTATGGTACCCCGGGGTATTGTATTCTAACGGACTCTCATTAGATAGAATCGCGTCCTCTCAAGCAATCTAAGAAGCGTTTGTTCATTTCTCAATCTTACAATTTGCAACTCAGAAATAAAAGTGAAAGACAGTAGAAAAAGAATTGTCAGAAACAAAATAAAACCATTTCATGGAGGAAAACAGTGATTACAACATTGTGTCACCTTATAACAGTTGCGATGACTCTGGTACGATGACATAACTAGATGCTGCAATCAAAGCTGCAAACCCAGTCTTGCGTTAAAAGTGAAAACGCTTTTTTTTATTATGAAAAGCAGACGTTTTACGACAGGCTATTATATTTAGCCATTTTCTTCTTATATCTAGTCGCTGTTTTATCGCGTATTAATTGTTTAGAAGATCGTGTCGACAATATTATTGTGGAGTTTAACGAACCAAAAGTCTCTATTTTCGCAACTCATTACTCGGGTCAGTGTGTTTATATCAAACTATCTAATACTATTAGGGTCCTTTTTGCTGCTGTTTGCTGGCAGCATGGCAGACGTCAAAGAACCCCGGCACACTTAACCCCTTAATGAAATCTAACATTTTTCTCACTTCGTTAGCTCCTTTCAGCACGGAAATTTAGTTGATTTTCGATTTCATTTTTAATAAAGGCGGATCTCCAGGAAAGGGTCTGTCGAGGTTGGAGGTCACGTATCCCAACGACGTACATGCATTGCTTTCTTCATGTCTGTGGGATATATCATTCCGTGTAGGGACCAGGGCGACAGGTCTTGTCCGTGGGGTTCTAATGTTTTAAACCAGAATATCAATCAAATTAGAGAACCGAGCAGGCTGATTTACCAGAACAGGTTTCAAATGGCTTTTAAATTAGTTGTCTGTTAGCCGTCCAATGCATCAAATACAGGCCTTAATTCGTTGTAAAATATCTATTAAGGGAAGAACACAGAAAAGGGCCTGATGCTCATACGCCGTGTGATTACTCCTATCAGCTGAAATGAACCATGCCCCGTCCTCTGCCGCCTATTACCGAATGTCACTCTTAATGTGCCCTTCTGAGATTTCCAATTCCAGCTCCATATACTCTGTCGCCAAACACTCGTTGTTTTTTTTTCGCCAAACGTCGAGCGGATTTCCACACTCTCAATTATCCAAGTACCGTCTGTCTTGGTACGTGATGAACAGAAACAGTAGAGACAGCAATTCTAGTAATACTTCGAAGCTTGTTTCGCACAAAAGTCCCGACAATGTAAGATACAGACTGAATGTCCTAACGTAGCTGGAGTAATACTAGTTGGATATTTTTGAATGTAAATCACCATTATTTTCACTGATTCCTGTATAATGAAGATAAATTCACACTGTCTGTGACCACAAAATGTTATCTGTGTTTATATCTAACCATAAAATTTCCCACTTTTATTCATGTTTAACTGACCCACTTTCTTTAATTGTAAATGAAACGAGGAAAGAGTTTATATTTCTTGATTGAGTGTGTGAGAATGTCTCTTAGTCACTCCCCATTAGGTGTGTATCAACGGTTGATGTTCCCTTGGCGTATATCCGCAATGCACATTTCATGCAATATCGCTTTTTGAAATGTATCTCCGGGAACATCGCAACCCTGTGTCAGTTTCCCATATATATATATAGCCTGTGTCCATTTCAGACCTGTAATCGTTCCTATGAGCGTAAACAATGTGATTACACCGACAAACTTCTCGTTGCTCTTCAATGATATGAACCGAGATGAGCACCTAAATGAGTTTGTGCTTGCCAAATAAAGTGGAATTGATGCGCGCTGCAGATGTGATGCGGTCAGGCACATCTGCCCTGCAACCATCTACTGGGGACGCTCAATTGGCCTATCTTCATTTTCGCGGTCTGTTCATTTCGCTGGTCAGGCGAAGCAATCCGTGCTTATTGCATTGAGTGTTGTCAATTTCTCTCCGCTACCTGATGCAATTAGGCAGCTGAAATTGACATATCAAGTCAAATTGACACAGACATCAGGGCTGTATCAAAGTTCAGTGATTTGCACATAGAAACGTTGGAAGGTCTCCACAGACAGCGCGTGTCTGGGAATCTTGCAATGATGGGGCACATTTGTTTTAATTTCAGCAGCAACGTAACTTCTCCCCACGATATGACGTTCCCGTACTTAGTTTTACTTTGACGTCACGATATTTGACTTAGATTATATGAAACTTTGTTAACTATATAATAAGTCGTTTTCATTGTAGTTATTCGTATCATGTGTGGTCTACTTATAAATAATGTCGCTGATGACAGATCAACAGGTCTACAGTCAGCTGTGAATAATATCCACGACATACCTGTTGCTTATCTCCCACATTTTGCTAGTGCCTATCTATAAATCAATGAGAGTGTGTATTCTGTAGACAAATATAATTATATATATTTTCTTTTATTCTTATAATTTTCCATTTCTTTGGTTTCAGATGCGGGCGAAATTAGTGATCATAAAGACGGAACGGATGCGAGTGGCGATGATGATGAAGCCCAAGCCAGGCTCAGACTGAAACGTAAGCTGCAGAGAAACCGTACCTCTTTCACCCAATATCAAATTGAAACCCTCGAGAAAGGTAGATTATGGATCCAAATGCGTTTACTATAATAATAATAATAATAATAATAATAATAATAATAATAATAATAATAATAATAATAATAATAATAATAATAATAATAATAATAATAATAATAATAATAATAAATAATAATTATAATAATTATAATAATAACATTTATTGGATGCACATAAGTTAATCACTCACCAATCACATTACTGGAATATGAAATGCACTCGAAAATACATGTCATGACAATCACGTGATATTAATGTGATTTGAATAATCTAAAAGTTGTTCGGCAATTTGGTATTGTTTGCCAATTTGTGTGGAGAAAAAAGTGACATACTACTAGCACGATAGAATGAACTTTATGCTTCCACAGACCAGACGTCGGCACTGGACATTTACATTGTTTTCCCTTGAGCCACATGACTCCCACACGTGCAACGTTATTCCACTGCGTTGCACTTTAAAAAGCATCCTAAAAGGCGTGTTCCACCAAAAAAGCAAAGCCGCCAGCTTGTCGACAAGTTAAACAAACAAACTTTTTTTCTCCAATTATGCCGAGGACTCTTGCAAAACAAACCCAGGTTCTGCATGTGAATTAAATGAGCAGTTAGGGAGCAGTTAGCAATGGCTTATAGATGTAACGTACACCGATTCACAGCCAAACCCTTTAAGTTACTACAAATAATTGTTATTTCTTGGACGAAAGTAATTGAGAAAGAAATCATATAATGCCCGCCCGCGGCGATGTCTCGAAATTTCAGCCCAGGTGGACTTGTTTCGTGCCTAAGTTAAAACAGCTAATTCGTCCAGAGAGTTTAGCTGTGTCGTTGTTTCGATAGAATGTACAAACACGTGTTTATTTATCCCGAAATCGTCAGTAAACATGCCCTATAATAACATACACTATTATTTTCCGGGCAAACAGTGAGATCTAAAATGCCATGAGTCATGCTCTCCCGTGACACAGCCATTTTACAAACACGATTAACATGAAACCAGCATGACTTTGTAACATTGAAATACAACTCAACATTTTATTTTTTATGTTTTGTTATTGCAAAGTAAAGCGGAATGATTACCGCCGCCTGTTCCGTTTGAAACATAGAAATATCACACACAAAACAGTCTCAACAAATGAGAACTAATGCTCGGTTACAATGCTATTTCACTTGTGACGTAAACTAAATTGTACTGGCAAGTCATTCACTTGCCAACCACAGGATATGACACAGAAATTATAATACTATTGAGGTATTGAGGGGTGCCATCGGAGGTTAACCATCACCCCCAGGAATATGGCCGAAAACTTTATAACAGTAATCAATGTTTACTCAACCAATTTGGCGGAAATCGCCCAAAGATTGTCTGAAAATTAAACTCCGTGGGAAGCGAAACGAAATAGAGACTTTCATTTATGCAACCTTGTCTTGCTTGAATTGTATTAGCTAGATTTTTTTAAACGTATTTTCCATTAAACTGACAATAGGACTAGGAATGCCTCTTCATTGGGTAAATCTGTTATTTTGACATACGCGATTGTGGTGAGGGATTTCAACTAGATACTACGAGTTAATATAGGTCCTACATGCATGTTAATACACTGTTTGCCTGCATAAAATGACCGACTTGTGAAACTTTCTGTATTGCCTATTTCGGTATTTTACAATGTCCCATGTTTTTTGATAAACCCACCTGAATTGTCACGTCTCCCTTCAAAGATTAACGTAATATTCGTTCTTACCTTTCTAGAATTTGAAAGAACGCATTACCCTGATGTCTTTGCACGTGAACGGTTGGCACAAAAGATTGATCTACCGGAAGCACGTATTCAGGTTAGCAATATAGTTTATTTATGGACATTCCAGCTAATTTTATCTACTTTACGTTTACAAATACCACAATCAACTCGTTGGAAATACATATTCGCTTTTAAATTTATGAACCGAATTCTTCCATCTTCGAGCATATTAGTTTACATTTTCTTAGTCTTTGTGCATTTCAATTCGTTTATATTTGTCTGATACGTTTTGGCTGAACTCGAATGCATGTACCCCTTTAGGTCTGGTTCTCCAACCGCCGAGCAAAATGGCGACGAGAGGAGAAACTGCGCAACCAACGACGACAAATGAGTAGCGCCCCTACGTCTTCCAGCCACCTGCCGATCAACAGCAGTTTTACTAACAGCGTTTACCAACCCATTCCTCAGCCCACCACTCCAATGGTGCCACGTACTGCCGACTCATATAGTGCACTACCACCAGTACCCAGTTTCTCAATGGCAACGCCACCGAACCTCAGCGGACCCAGAGACACCTCATCATATTCCTGTATGATCCCACCGAGCGCACGGAGCTACGAACATCACCTCAGTCTTGGAGGATATTCCAGCAACAGTACACACCCCATTGGACAACCGCCAATACAGAGCCATGTTAGTAGTGCTTGTATGACCCAGACAAGTGGGGGCCATGGGGGCTACGGAGGTAAATATTTAGGTATACGTCAATTTATGGTATATTATCTTTGTTTTCATGTTAAACGTCTGTAATGTCTTGTGATGAAGTATGTTTGTCAATGTTTGAACAATGTTCCCGACAATTTGGAATTTTCATTTTATTTTTCATATTGTGTTTAATCCCTCCACCAACACTGACCCGGGCTTCCACATGTTATGTATACTTAAGTGTTGCATATACACTATCGTCACATGTGTCATCTTCAATGACAAGCTGTCACTACAATCCTCTTACCCATTGTTATACTGCATTATTACATGTATACAATGGGTTCTATTCTGGATTTCAATCTCAAATTCTCTCACGACCAACTAGTCCCATGTTCACCAATACGGATTTCCCATAAACAAACAACAAATACATATATTTCAATTTCATTATTTCCAGTGGCACTCATTATTTCATATTATCATATTGTAGGTCTAATATCACCCGGTGTATCTGTTCCAGTGCAGGTTCCTGCCAGTGCTGTTGATAGCTCACATACGTCGCAATATTGGCCACGAATACAATAAAGACGATATCCAAGTGAAACGGAACATACAAACCACTCCACCGATTTAGAGAACAAATATTTTGTGAATTTTTATTGGAAAGAAAACATTACAAGTTATCTGCGCGATACAGGGGCAATAAAGGAGACCAAGACGATGAAAGAACTGTAAGCCAAGAACTTGACAGACATACGAATACAGATTATGTGGCATCTTAAATGTAAGAAAGAACTTAACGTCACAATGTAACGCTACGCATCGACGTACTCAAAGTGGTACTCATCGCTCGATTGTACTTCCAGATACACATTGAATACGTCATGCTGGATTCGGTTTTCACACTGACGCCGATGGATAACTTGTTTTAAGACATAGTTGATTTATATATGTACAATACGCAGGTTTTGAGGACTTTCAGAAGATATTGCCAAAACTGCTCGGACACCGAAATCCACACATACTCGTCGACGTCTAAATGTAGTACACAGACACTAAGGAGGCTGTTTTCTGATTTTTTGATATACTAGATAGCAGTAGAGAATGTGTATGTAGTATTTCATGGTCATGTGTTGTCGGTATTCTTCGCCGTTACGACCGCCAATAAACAATTCTCCGGCCATCACACCAATTAATAGGGTGAAAGTATTTAAAGGCTTTCTTAGCATTATTTGGTAAACACATTTTCAGGAAAATGGGCTCAAATAATTAATTTTTTGCTGAATGACCGAAATCTAGAATTTTCTATATCAACGCATATTTCAAATGAATTGTTTTCGGTGTTTATCACCTGGTGTACATGTTCACTAAAGCATTTTGAATCAGAGATTTTTAAGAAAACAGTAGTTTTGTTATATTCCGTAGAATGTTTCAAAGCGTATTTGATTTTGCTGGACACAATGTGTAACGCTTTTGAATATGAACAAATCCCGCATTCAAATGTTGATTATTGTTGTATGTATTGTTTGCATATTGTAAGTTATGTTGGTCTAAAAAATGCAAAATTGGGTCCGTGGATGTATTGCGTTTTACAACGGAATTAAATCACATCGATTTTGTTTATGCTACATTTTAACCAAGTTATTAAGCAGTTAGATGCATACAAAGGGGGAGATGCAGACCATCGGATCCACCACATTCATATTACTACACTAATGGTCATGTACCCGTATTCCTCATTCTATTTTACATCAACTCATTATGTATGTATATGTTTTCTCTGCATACCTGGGTTCAATTATTTGATGTTTAATTTATGTTTAGTGATTATGAATGTCAACACGGAACATGATGTTGGTCCAGAGGAAACGTCCCTTCGAGAGGGGGGGGGGTCGTGTAAATTCATGCATTAAAATAGATGCTCTGATTCAGATGCAGAGTTCTATTCTGGATGGAAATTACCAAGCTCGAAGTTGACACATAAAATGGCAAAAGTTGCACGAGACCACAAAGATACAGATGTTATATTTAATACATTTATGTGTTTTACCATTTAATATCACATAATTGAATTTCAATCACACCAGTAAACATGTAGCATCACGTATTCTACATTTGGAATGACGTATCACCTCTCATTTAATAATATCGATAATACATTGTTACAATCGATTGGTCACTTGCTTTCTGTGTAATATATTGGTCGAGTGAATGGCAAACCAAACAGGAGGAAAAATCGAAACATGATATCTAATACACATATTATATTAATAAAAAACAACGCCCAATATTTTTGCTATTTCTACGCAATTGCATGCTTTTTCATGGAGACAAATTATCTTCGCATTTTTGGATAACAAAATAATGTTTAACCCTCTATGATATAGCTATTTTACTGGAAAACCCATGTGGATATTTTTTATTTAAAGAAGGAACTTGAACTGCCCGATGCTTTAGCTCTTTACTCTTGATAATAAGAATGTAGCTCTATCTGACTTATTGAGATATTTTCTTCTTTTTTTGCTCAGTTTTTTCTCGTGTATATTTATATATTCAGCACATTATTGTAATATGATTATTGCTTGTCCAAGTAATACTTAGACTTTATGAGAAAACATTAAATTTTATTACAAAGTTGGAACTGAACCAATTGTTGCCTATTTCATTGTACAGGGGGAGTTGTGAAATAGAAAGAAGTATCACTATTATATTAATGGAGAATGTGTAATTGGTAATATCTGAAAAAAACAAGAATTAAATTTAATTGAAATCACATTTCAACTGAAGGTTGCGCTGTGTCCCGAAATACCCAAATAAGTAAATTATATTGTGCCAACGGCGCGACAGCTTGCCCACGATGAAGTACCTGTGCTGTGCCATGGAAACTATGATGTATTATAAAATGACTATTAAAAACATAATAATATAATAATAATATAAT